CCCGATCTTTTGCAGAAAAGCAGAGTCTCTGATGGTTGAAACTTGACCTCCACGTTGCAGGCTGTCAGTTAAATGTAAACTATCTTCTGCCTTCTGCAGAGCTGGGCAGTGTTGCCTGACCATTAAATGGAGACGCTGTTCTGGACCAGCAAAGGGTTCAGATAGAGGTAGCTGATGGGCAAGGTCTGGTTCCTTTCCTCAATTTCTTCAATGATTACAGCCAGGCTTTCCCGGAAGGCAGCTATGAGTTTCTTCGGCATCTCCTCAGTAAAATGTTCTTCAGGGTAGTGGCCCAGCGGTCTCTGGAAGAGGAAAAGAGGGAGAGAGCAGAGAACGTCACATACGGAGGTGGAACAGAGCAAATCTTCAAAACTGTAATGTCCAGGGTGGGACCACGTTTGTCTTTTTGCAAAAAATACATTGTTCCCGGCATATCAAATCACAGTAGAAGCTTCTGTTTGGCCCACCTAAGTGACAGCATCCAGTTGATCTTGAATTGCTAAGCAGGACCAGGCCTGGTTAATGTTTGGATGGGAGACCAACATGCTGGTGGCAAGAAAACTACATGGAGGTGACCAGGAGCTGAGCTCAACCTGAAGGGGACTTGACCTTAAATGTTCAACTCGTGAAGTAGTGTATTATCCACAAAATCTTCGGTAGTCCTAAACCAGGGCTACAAGGCTCAGTTGAAATAGGGTATAATTTTGATACCAGACATAACCTTAGAGGCTGGGTTTGTATAACATATATAGAATATTATTAAAATCTTACTTTTAGGGCTAAGCTTCAACTTTTTTGTGGGAATCCTGTTCTATCACTCTTGCAACAATTTGCATTCCAGGAATCTGGAATTTGCCAGATCCCAGAATGTTACGGAAGTATTTGGTTAAGATTCTTAACTTACAGAATCCAGCATTATTGTGAATCAACTGTATTCCAATGTTGTCTTACTGTTCTATCTTTTTGCCTACTTGTGGGCAATATTTCCATTTAAAATGCAATTGTGGTATCATCTTATCTGGAGTTGAGCCGCGAAACTTCGCTCTAGACAAGTGTTTACAAGGCTACTGTGCTTTTCATTTGAAGCTTTCTCCTGTCACTTTCTCTTCAGTGAGATGAAGGCATTGCTGAATTTTCCCTTAACATGCTGTTATTTAGAAAAGAAGAAATGAGAGGGAAGGGATAATTAAACTCCCCTTTTAATTATCCCTAACTCCCTTAATCCTCTTAACAAAGATTATTAATCTGTCATCCTCCAGTCTGTTGAACAGGAAGCAATAAAAGGCATAGAACGAAGAAGAAACTATTAAATAACATAGCAGGGGATCCTGGCGGAACAGAACTTGGAAAGAGCATTATCAAAGATCATGCTCACAGGGCATGATTATAACATTATAAATGCTAATTTATTCATTTATACCAGTGTTTCCCAATCTTAGCAAATGACCGATACATGGCCTTTGACTCCCAGGGTTTCACAGCCAGGACACTGGACATTGCTGAGCATTCTGGGAGGGAGAGTCCCCACATCTGGAAATAGGTAAGGCTGGGAAACATTGTTATATGCAAACCACAGCTTTTCAGGTGAAGAACCTGGGACAAAGAGGACCTCAGCCCCCACCCTTTGGGGACATTAGGCCATCATTTATTTACTCCTCTGACTTTGCTATCATCTTCTGATTCTCAGGTCCACTTACCAGGTCCCCTGGCTCATAGCTGACGATGGACAGCAATGACAGAAGGGCACAGGTGGAGTTGACTTCAGGGAAAGTCTCCAAGATGCTCTTCAAGGAGGCAGTGCCCTTGACTGTAGGAGGAGGCTGCCTCAATGTGGCCGGTGTGTTGGGCATCCACGCAGCGAAGTCAAACTGTCACAACACACAAAGAATGCAGAATTGGAAGGTCTACAGGATGTGAGCCTGCTCCTTGGCATGGGACACAGTGAATGGAGAAGGACCAAGGTGGGAACGGGGGCAGCTAGATGTGAAGACCAGGTTGCCCCAGAGGAGACAAGAAGCAGGAAGCCATCAAGCTGAAACTCAACGCCAAGGTTGAATGAGAGTAGACACCAGTGGATAAGAAGATGTTAGTCCAGGGCTGAATAATCTTAGAATGCAAACCTGCAGTCATGCCCAGCCCTCAGCTATCAGGAGATCTTAGCAGAAGAGCTTGGAAACTGTGTTTTGTCAAGCAAGTTTTGGGGTTCTTTTCCAAACCACCACAACAAAAAAACCAGTTTGAGTGTAGGCTTGCATTTCTGATTCTGATTTTAAGGCACTGTCTTTTGCGATATTCAGAACCTCCTGCCAACGCAAGAGTCGTTTTCCCCCAGACGGGCAGCCAGGGGACCTAGTGATGCAGAAATCCCTTTCACTTCTTGATCTTTCAGGAGATGCTGAAGGACACTCTTCAGCAAGACTTGCCGATCTTGCATAATCCCCATGGCAAAGAATGGAAATTAGGAGAAGAACACCAGTTTGCAAAAGGAATCTCCTACCTGCCCACTGTTGACCGCCGAATGCCGTGCAGAACAGTTGAAGATGACCATAGTGAGGAACTTGATCAACTGAGCTTTGTTTTCCAAAGTGGATGGGACACCTGTTGGGGATGGACAGGAAGTTGGGCATTCCCCCCAGTTCTAAACACTGTCCAACAAAGTTACATTGACCACCATCAAGAAGGTACTATGTGACTATTGTCATCCAATTTGGGACTCATCAGACATACATAGTCAGGTGTTACTCTGTGGCAATGTTTCTCAACCTCAGCAATAAGATGTGTGGATTCCATGCTGGCTGGAGAATTCTGGGAGTTGAAGTCCACACATCTTAAAGTTGCTGAGGTTGAGAAACACTGCTCTACAGGATTCAAATAACATAACTGGATACCTACATCTGATGAGTCCCAAACAGGACAAAACCAACCAGGTAGTACCCAGCTCCTCATGGTCAACTTAACTGAAAACCCCACACAGGTTATACAGTACACTGCGTAGAACTAGAGAAATCCCCCCACTCCAAGGTAGGGACGGCAGTCACGTAAAATGTTGCATGTGGGGACATGATGTAATGTAACATCTGTATCTCTGAGAGCTTAAGGGAAGGTGGACTGTATATCCTGTTCTGACAGATGTCCAACAAAGGCATATATTATTCAGTTTGGCTCGTTCATGTATATTTCCTCTTCTCTAGAAAACAGGGAAGAGGAAAGAAAAATGATGGGTAGAGGAGGGAAGGGAAGCACCAATCACTGATGGACCTGCCACAAGATAGTCAAGCAAAGGTCCTCCTTTTAGCAGGAAGCATTGGGAGCATCAGTGTTGAGGGAGCATCTTCTTTCAGACCGTTATTCTGTCTGCTCAGCAAAGGACTGCTGTTGAACTCAACCAAGTAGAGATGGTGTGAAGGAAGCATTCTTCAGCCTGGTTCCCTCTATGTGTGCCTGACCCACTAGCTGGGGAATTCAGAGAGTTCTGCAAGAGGGGGCCAGGATGGTAATGGCTGGTGGGGGATATTACCTGAGGATGTCCTACTCAGGAAAGCCTCAGTGAAGATCTCATGAACCCAGGCTTGTAGCTCAGGATCTTTTTTCACGTCCTCATCTGATTTGTAGTAGAGTTCAACAACGCCAGACACGAACCTGAAAATTACCAAAGCAAAATGGAGAAATGGGGTTATTTGTGATCCTAAATCCCCAGGCTTCTTGGAGGTCTGACAGCAGCACGAGGAACAGAAATCTGACAGATGTATCCATGCAACTTTGGACTAAGGAGAAGCTCAGTGATTGATGTTCTGAGAAGGTTGCGAAGAGAGTGGAGACCTATCAGGGAGAAGTGGAGACCACTCTAAGGCCCAAGGATCATCTAGGAGACCTTTCCAGGAAAGTATAGTTTGTCAAGGTACCTTCTGACCTCAAAAACAGTAACTACAAGTCTTTTAAACCGGTTTAATCGTTTGGATTATTTTTTTAGCTTGCCAGGTGTTCTCTTAATCATCGCCTTTGCTAATTACAGATGGGAGCAAAGTTTGGGCTCAAAGCCATCAGTTTGGCTGAACTTGCAGAAACATATCTGGAAGATGCAGGAGGGGGGAACCTGGCTTCAGGACAGACACAATTAACACTTCCCACCCCAAATACTTGGGGAACAATGCTTGATCTCCCTGGCCTATCATCCTGATTTGGCACTTCTTCCAGTTTCTTCCCTATGAGGTCGACCAGACCATGAAACAGAGGCCAGGCGTGCCTACAACTACTTGGATTAAGATTGGCTATACTGTATTCATTTAAATCAAAGTAGTTTTAGGCACAGCTGGCCTCTGTTTCATGGTCTGGTTGACCTTGCAGGGCTGACATGACCAGATATTTCCACCCAAGGACTTAGCATTGGTTAAAAGTCACAGACCCCTGTAAACCCCTAACCTGGGGCAGCTGAGTGGGCCTCTTTGTGGGGGACCCATGTTGCAAAAAAGGAAAAAAGAGAGGTGTTTGAGGGGGGGAGGGGGTTGCAGTGGTAAAACTCTGTGGAGACCTCAGGTTTTCCATGCCCCACTGGAAGGAATCTGCATGCCATCCTTGCTCCTGAACCTTGGCGGCTGGCATGTCTGCTTCAAAAGGGAACTTGGCTTGGTTTAGCAGGATGAAATTGGCCAAGAACTCCACTTGCCTCTCTGGCAAGGGATCAACGGGGCGGGGGGGGGGGGCCCCTGTTTTTTCATTTCTTTTCCTTTCCTTCTTGGGTGCAATGGGGGCACTGAGAAATTCTAGTGGGATGGAAACAGTAGCCACGTGGAAAAGCTCTGACAATGAGCTTCAGCTTCTGCAGCCCAAAAGAGTATTGTACGCAATTTTGTTTAGACCTTATGGCCTTCTCACCTTCTGCTTTTGCTCAGTGCTTCCACCTAGAACTGTGGTTGGAGGTGTAAAGCACCTGGTTGTTAAAAGGGATGAGACAATATTGCACCACTTGGAGAAGCCTCAGTGTGGAGCCTAATTTAGGGGAATGAGGGCTTTGCAGCCAGGCAGCTTCACCCTGTTGCAAATGCTCAGATTTTTCCACCAACACCCCAAAATGCATACAGTGTGTACTAAAACAGAGGGCCGGGGTGGGGGTGGGGTGTCTAGCGGTTTTTTAAATTTCTTTTTTGTGTGGTGTGAGGGATTTCTTTTGCTCACTCCAGGACCTGCAGTGGCTTGTGACAGGACACTGACTGATTACATGTTTTGTACATTCTTGTTCATCAGGTTAGCTCGGTGTCCCAAATTTGACTAGAGGGAAAGATTGTGGACTGCAATCACAATCCTTTGGGGAGATTTTTGGAGTGGAAATGGACATCCACACAGAGTAAGGTAAGAGGGACAAAAGTTATAGGCAGGAAAAGTTGAGATATTCGTGTCCCTTCTGCATTAGGATATTTTAGAGCAGTGTTTTCTGAACTTGGCCACTTTAAGATGTGTGGACAATTCCAGAATTCCCCATCCAGCATGGGGAATTGAAGTCCACACATCTTAAAGTGGCCACGTTTGAGAAACTCTGTTTTAGAATATATAAACCCTCTCCAGCTTTGAATTTGGGGGATTGAAGATGGATGGGTGGCTAGGTTACTTTTACTTCCCTACGTGGCGGGCACAGAAGCACAGAGAGCTCTGTTTTCGGCGAGGCAGAGCCCTGTTTGCTCCTGCTGAAGATAGACCCCAAAACCCAATCACCAAAAGTTCACTCACTTCTCAATGGCGCTCCAGATCTTCATCCCATCATCCCGAAAGTAGTAGTTGGGCAAGGAGGCGACTCCTCTTTCTTCAAGGTCATCCGGGAGGCACAATGACGTGTAATTGGACGCCTCCACCCCTTTGGCCAGCAGTTTCAGCATGCCATCCCGACCCGTGGCCGTGGCCTGGAGAATGGGGGATACGAGGTCAGCTGCCACGAAAACGGAATTCTCTTCTAGGGAAGGCTGAAGTGGACTCATCAGCTGGCATCCGTGGGGCCAGTTTACTTGGGAGTGACCTGCTAGGTCCTCCTGTCTCCCCATGGGGGGTTAAACATTTAGATCCAGTGATAGAAACCGAAGGGACTCTTCCATTGGGGCAGGGTCCATCTGAGCAGTAATGGCTGCATTTCAGAAACTGGATGGTTTCCAACTTGGCCGGGACTCTCATACAGGTCTTCTGCCCCATGGAACCTAAATATTCTGCTGATTCCTTGGCTACATTTCCTGTCTATTACAACATCCTGTTCTTTGACTATTTCTGCATCTCCAGTTACTTTTACCAGAGCCACCCTTCTACCTCTGTTTAATTACAAAGAGTACTGTAGACCAGTGTTTCTCAACCTTAGTGACTTTAAGATGTGTGGACTTCAACTCCCAGAATTCTCCAGCCAGCCATGCTGGCTGGAGAA